ATAGAAAAATATAAGTATTATAACTATAATAAAATTAGATATATTTTATTATAATACTCTAAACTAAAAAAATAAAAAAACTAGAAACTTATTAAAGAAAATAAGAAATAATTAGAAATAACTAGAAAAACTAAAATTAAAACTTTTAAAATAATTAAAAGAACTATTTAAAAAGAGAATTCTATAATTATTATAATTTCTATATTTTCTAGAGAATTTTTTTTTTTTTTTTTTAGAAAGTATTAGAATTAAGTAAATAATAGAACTAAATAATATTAGAAGAAAACTAATAATATATTAAGAATATTTTTAAAAAGCTTAAATAAAAATATAAAAAAAAAAGAAAATATTATAGATATTAAATCTTTTACTAAATATAAATATATATTTTATTATATTAATAAATTTATTAAATATACTTTTAAGGAATAAGTATAATATTTATTTACTAGGAAAAAGATTAAAGCTAAATATAATAAACTATATACTTATTATTAATATAAGATATAAAATTAAAATCTAAATTAAGATATTAGATTAGTATTCTAGAAAAAGTACTATAAATATTATTTAATATTTTAATAATAAATATAATAATTCTATTTATATCAAGACTAATAGTATTTATAACTATAAGTAAGAATTATAACTAATCTGCTATAATATATAATATATAATATACTAATAAGAAAAAATAATATATAATTCTTTTCTATTTTCTAATAGAAAAATACTAAGAAAATATAAAATAATCTAGATATAATAATTTATTTACTAATATTATAGAATAAAGTTCTATACTATTTTTAAAAAAGATTTAAAAGAATATTCTATTAAGTATATATATAAAGAAATATTAATAAAAATATACTAAAAATAGAAATATAAAATATATAAAAATAAGAAAGTTAAACTATAGTATAATTACTAATATATAAAAGACTAAATAACTTATAACTATAATAGATATATTAAATAATATTAAAACTAGAGATATAGAAATTACTAGGAAATTAAATAAGAAGTATTAGTATTAGTATAAAATAATAATAATAATATAAATACTATTAAATTATATTTTAAATAATAAAAATTATAGAAAAAGAGATTATAAAAATACTAATTAGAGAGATAATTATTTCTAATAATTAGTAAAGAAAGTAATAAAATTAATAAAGTAGAAATTACTTTTACTAATAAATAAGAATAGAATAGAATATATAATAGATAAAATATACTATTACTAAGTAAAAAATAAATTAATTAGATAAAAAATAATCTAAACTATTTATAATAGAGCTATAGTATAGTATAATATTAATAATAAATTAAAAAACCTTAGAAATTATAAAAATAGAAAAGTCTATATATATTCTTATAGAAATAAAAATTAAAAGAAATTAGCTTATAGTATTTATAATTATAAAATATGGAAAAATTATATTTTATTATTAATAATTAATTAATTCTATTTATTATTAAAAAAGAAGAAAGAAATTAATATAGTTATAAATATTAAAGATTTAAAATTTAAATATAATAATAGAATTATTAATTTTAAAACTAATTATTTTATAATAAAAATCTAAAAAAGGAAATTTAATATTATTTATAATTTAATACTATTAGAATTCTATAATCTTATACTAGGATTTCTATAGCTTTAAAATATAAACTTACTAATTAATTAATATACTAACTAGATAGAATAAAGAAATACTTTTAAGTACTAATATTAGAATTAATAAAAAATAAAATTTTATTAGATATTAGAAAAATATATTTATTTTTTTAATATCTAAAGATATTACTATAAAAAACTATAATAATTTATAATAATAAGTAAATATAATAGTTATAATCTTAATAGTATTATAATCTAATAATATAAGAAATCTATTATAATAAGAATTAAGATAAATAATATAAATTTTAAACTAGATATAGAAATAAGAAAAACCTTTAAATATAAATCTAATATTTATTAATTAGAAATAATTAATAAGAGAATAATAATAAGAATATAAAGTTAAGTATAATTAATAGTAAAAAGAAATAAAAAAACTATTTTTAAAACTATTTAATATTAGAATCTAGAAATAGAATTAAATAAATAACTAATAAAAGATATAATAAAATAAAAAAAAGAATATCTAGTATAAATATAAATAAAGTAAATAGTTAAAGAAAGAAAAATAACTTAAAAATATTCTATATAAATATAATTATTTTAAAAAAAAACTATTTTAAGAGAAATTTAAAATAGAGCTATTTAAATATAACTAATAGAATTATAAAATCTCTATTATTAAAAAAGAAAAATTAGATTTCTATAAACTTTATAATTTTATAGAACTTTAATTATAAATACTTTATAAATATATTAATAATATATTAATAAAAAATTATATATATTTATTAATTTTATTTATAAAATACTCTATAATATTTATACTAAAGAAAAATAATAAACTCTATTTAATTATAAATTATTAATAGCTAAATAAAATTATATAGAAAATAAAATACTTATTATTAAACTTAGAAATTAATTATAAAATAAATAATAGTTTATAAGATTAGATTTAAAAAAACTTATAATTTAATATAAATAAAAAAAGAAAATAAATAGAAAATAGTATATAAAATAAAGTTTAATTTCTATAAATATTTTATTATACTTTTTAAATTAATAAATATATTTATAATATTCTAATAAATAATTAATTAAATATTAAGAAAATATTTTAATATCTTTATAGTTATTTATTTTAATAATATTCTAATTTATTCTAATAATTTAGAAATATATAAGAAATATATATATTAAGTTCTAAAGAAATTATAAGAAATTAATCTTCTAATAGAATTTAAGAAAAGCTATTTCTATATATAAGAAATTAACTTCTTAGAATATATTATTTAACTAAATAAAATATAAATAAAATAAAATAAAATTATTATAATTAAAGAATAAAAAATATTAAAATCTATAAAGAAAATATAAATATTTCTTAGATTTACTAATTACTATTAATAATTTATTAAAGATTATAAAAAAATTATTATATTATTATATAATATTACTAAAAAAGAAATAAAATTCTAATAGAATAATAAATAGTAAAAAATATTTAATAAAATTAAGAATTAAATATTTTTAGAATATATACTATAGATATTTAATTTTATAAAAAAAGTAAAACTTAAAATAGATATTTTTAATATTATAATTAGTATATAATTTAACTAAAAAGATAATAATAAAGTATTATATCTTATAGTATTCTTTTTAAAAAAACTATATAATATATAATTTTATTATTCTATTTATAATAAAGAGTTTATAGTTATTATATATATATTTAAAGAATTTAAATATTATTATCTAGAAATAATATATAAAATTAAGATATATATAGATTATAAGAATATTTAGTATTTTATTATAACTTAATAACTAAATAGAAAATAAATATATTATACTAAATATTTATTCTAATTTAATTATAAAATAATATATTAAAAAGAAACTAGAAAATAGAAAAGCTAATACTTTTAGCTATAAATCTAAATATAAGAAAATAATTCTAAAAATAAATAAATAACTATTTTTAATTAATAATAAAAAATACTTAGTATAGAAAACCTTAGAAATTACTTTTAAGAAAATAGTATATATTAAGATCTAGATAAAGATTATTTCTAACTTAGAAAAACTATAATAAAAAATTAAAATAATATTTATTAAAGAGATTTATAAGTATTTACTTTTAGAATATTAAGAAATTAAGAAAATCTTTAATAAGATTAGATAGAGAAATAATATTTATCTCTAAGTTTTAATAATTACTTATAGTATAAATAAATATAAAGTATAAGCTTTTAATAGTTTATTATCTATAAAATAATAATTAAATAGAGTAATTAAATTAAACTCTAGAATAATATCTATAAATATATTTTAACTATAAGTAAGATAATTAGATATAATTACTATCTATAGCTTAGATTATATATAATAGTTTAGTATAAGAATTTATCTAGCTTATATCTATTCCTACTACCCCTATATAAGCACTTTATATATCTATTAATATATATATATATATTATATAGTAAAGATTCTAATAGAATTAGCTTAATAATTTATTTAAAATAGAATATAATTAGATAGCCTAGATATACTTATTACTAATTATCCGATATAGTAATTCTCTTAAAAACCTAATCTTAATAGTTCTTTTAATTCTACTAAACTTAATAACCTGCTATATATATTATAGCGGATATTATAACTATAAGGTATTAGAAGGTGTAAATCTAAAGAATAATTCTGGGTAAGAAGTTAGATACTTGTAAGGCTCGTTCCTTAAGGTATTGGCGGGCCCGTAGGACCGGTCTCCTGTCTCCTGTGCCTTGAGGAACGAAAGGCTCTTCCTTCCGCCCCCTCGAAAGCAACACCTGGGACACCGCCACCTGCGTTACAAAACTGCGCCACTTCAAGCCACATCTCAATAGCCACAGTTTAGACTTGCTGTGGCTTAGAAGACTTGGGGCTAAATTTCCGGTAGCTCTTCCCTGAGATCGTCGTTGTGGAAATTTCTCGCTGAACTGCTTATGGATTTCTGGCCAACAAAGCTGATGCTCCTCCTTCAATTTGACAATAAGAAAATTGGGCACCCTGCTTCGCTCGAAAGTCCCACCAATCAACCGGTACGAGCGGTGGGAAGGCTGCAAGTGTGGGTACCTGATCTACGAGGCTATAGGGTTCTAAATGTTACGCGAGATGAAAACCGGGGTAAGCTGGCGTTGAATGTCACTAGCCCATCTATAGCTCTGATTGTGAGGCCTCTAGCACTTATTGTATACAAATCTAGGTTGTTTCGTTGATTATTTTGGGGATTTAAGGAGCCAAGCCCACGCAAATATTGGGATTGCCCTTGCCGAGCGCAGTTCATCCCCGGTACGCTGTTACTCTACTATTAACAGTGCCAGCCATGGATCTCGCTTCTATTTACTTCGGGCTCTTTTTGGGCGTCTTTGTTTTTACCTTCGCAAAAGCTGTGGAACAGACTCGAAGTATTTGGAAGCACACGCACCGCATTGTCCACCCCTACCTGTCCATGATATGGGTCGAGGCCTGGGTGAATCTTGTCTTTTGCATCGTCACCTATCTGTACCTGAATAATATCATTCCGGGAAGGTAAAAAGATCTTTCGACTCTCTTTTTGAATTACTTGCAAAGCCGAAATAAGACTAACAAGATATCTTTCAGCCTTGCGTTCTACTTGGCGACTGGTAACTGCGACCCGAAAGACCACACAATGCTTGTGAGAATCACACAAACTAATAAATACTCTTTTTTTTTCCCAGTGGCACTATGGGCAATCCAGACACAACTCCTCCCACAAATTATTGCTAACCGCGTCTCCTTAATCATGGTTAACAAGTCTCGAGCGAAGCAGTTGAAATGGACTCTGGTGATTGCTATCGGCTGCATCAACATCGCTGTCTGTTATATTTGGACGGTCGCGCAGTTGCCGTCAGCTACACCTTACCAAGTGATGCTCAACCACATGTTTGAGAGAGCGGAGAAGGCGTTTTTTTTAGTGATTGATCTAGCGCTCAACTTGTACTTTTTGTATTTGGTTCGTTTTCGCTTGATTGCGGACGGGCTAAACAAGTATTGGCGCCTTTTCAATTTCAATGCCGGGATGGTTGCTGTTTCTACATCGATGGATGTTTTCCTTCTCGGCTTCTTGAGTTTGCCAGACCCATACTTGTGAGGGATTCAATCAATCAGCCCCCCATCTGCTCAGAACAAGTAGGGCCTTTTTTCTTCAGATCGGTCAACTAATCACTCTTCTCCCTATCCAGATACGTTCAATTCGCCCCCGTTGCATATATCGTCAAGCTATATATCGAAATTCTCATGGCCAATTTGATCACCAAGGTTGTCCGCAGCGGTTCGGTTGGGAGAGAAGATGGATGGTACAAGAGCAGTGGCCAGAAATCGAACCCGACAAACTATGCCACGTCCCGGGTTGTGGTTAGTGGATGTTCGCGAACGCCGCAGCAGACTAACACTATTTGGAGCAAGTTGGGCAGAGACGATGCCCCGCCTCGAGAAGGCAGCAACGGCTCGGAGATTCATTTAGCCCCATATCCCGGCCAAAATGGTATCACAAAGACGGTGGAGACTACGATCGTGGTGGACGATGGCGATGAGGGCAGTAGGAAGTCGGAAGTATAGATTCATAATGAGGTTGGTGAAGGAGGAGTCTATTATCATGGAGAGAGGAGACCACTTTTTAATATTGATGATCCCATAGTGCAAGGCTTTACTTGCTTAATTACGGCGACGAGAAAAGGGGGAAAGGCGGAAGTCTATCTAGCTACTAATTCATATTGCGCCGGAGTGTTCCTCCCTGTATCGCATTTAGATATTTTATGTTTATTCGCAGTGACGTCCATTTCGATGGCGTGACGAGGGCTGTAGCTATCCGAACATGATGCCTTTCAGGATCGACAAGATATTGAGCCTACATTTTCTTTACTACATTAAAAGCAAGCTTGGCGAAGGGGGGAACCCCAGGCAGCAATATCATAGCGTAGTAGCGCCGGGGTACTATACACGAAGGGGCTTAATGTCGCTGACTCCAGGGATGTTTTGGTCGCAAACCTGATTTTATATTGCTAAAATTTCATAAGCGCATATTAAAATACCTGCTAATTTGTTAGCGAGGCTTTTAGCAACATCCTCTGTAACAGCTGAACCCATTGCCGTCTTTAGCGGACCCGCCAAAACGCGTCACCGTTGGTTGACAAAAAGTAACCTAAGTTTCGTTCAAGAAATTCTCAGGATGGAATGTCGCAAGAAAAGGGAATAAGAAAAGGATTGGGAAAATTATTATCCTGCTCTCTAGCTTGGCCAGTTTTTGAAGAGCTGTTCGTGCTGAAGACCTGATATCGGGGAATCCTATCGCTAGCACATTATTCCGTATCAGCAAGTAGTAAAGTAGCCCTTTCAATACAGTCAGGAATGAGGCCAATCGGATTCGAACCGATGAGCACCTGGGGGCTCCATGTATTTCTAGGGTCACGCTAATTTAGAATCAGTGACATGTCATGTTCGAAGGTGCGAGAGGATAAACATAGCGCTACCCCTGGGCCAAAGCTCCGGTTCGATGGCGTACGAATTTCATCCCAAGGTATACTCCGTAGTAATTTCCCAATGCCCTGGTAGATATATGTTGTGTTGTCTATTACGTTCCTCCTCTTCACGGGTGTAGTTATTACTGGCCGGGCTCCGCTGGGTTCGGTATAAGCCCTCCGCTCGTTGAGTTTGGGATCTGTTGTTGCTATAAGAGCCCGGCGAATAGCCACCGATATACAGCTCCCAGTCGAACTATAGTTAGAAGGTTACTTTACTATCTATGAATAGGTATTTGAGTATAGCCCCTTATAAAGGCTATTTCTTATATCTTACAGCTGGTATTTTAGTATTAGCTTTAATAAATAAGTTATATAATAATACTAAGCTAGTACTATAGACTAGTATATATAGTTCTAATCTATTAGCTATATATATATAATAAGTATAGTATCTCCCCCTATAGTAAAATCTAGGGCTAGACTAAGATCTATCTACCTTCTGATATTTAAATAAAAAGGTCTAGCTAAGATTATCTACTTTATTATTAACTAAATTATTATTTACCTACTCTTCTTTACTATAGCTTAGAGAGGGGTAATAGTTCTTATTATCCTATATAGTATCTTTAGAACTAGAGATTAAGCTAATATTAGAATTAAAATTATAGTTAGAAGCTAAATTAGTAGAGTATTTCTTATTTATTCCCTTATAATAAAGCTATACTAGGAGCTAGCTAATATTATTATTAATAGCTTTATTCTTATTACTATACTCTTTCTCTTTTTTCTAGATATATAGTAATAGTAAGATAGAGAATATAAGACTACCTTTTTCTTACTACTACTAAGAGCTATTAGAGTTAGAGCTAGTCTAGGAGATAGATTAAAAATTAGAGTATTTTTCTAAATAGCTTCTTAGTATATATCTAATACTCTGTAAATTATCTTATATTTACTCTATTATATACTAAGATAATATAACTTTAGTATTAGATACTCTATAGCTCTTAGAATAGTTATATTATATTTCTAGCTTACTAAGAGAAGATAGTAGTAGGTAGGAAACCTCCTATATCTTCAGAGAGTAGCTTATTATCCTAGCTTTATCTATAGTAACTAGGTTAATATAGCTATAGCTATTTAAGATATAATTCTACTCTATACTTATTATAAATAAAGAAATACCCCTGGTATTATATATTATATCTCTACTTTTTTTACTAATAAAGAGAGAATTACTCTAGATTATTAATAAGCCTATATAATTCTTTACTATACTTACTTTAGATTACTAATAAGCTCTTATAAGCTATTTAGTATATATATATATATTCCTCTTACTAGATAGAATACTTTTTTAAATAATTATTAATAAAGTAATAAATCTATAATTATCTATAGATCTATTATTACTAGTTTTATAATACTTATATATTAATAGTAATTTATATTATATAATCTATAATAATCTAATTATACTATTTAGAATAATACTCTAATTAGTTTAATTCTAATCTACTCTAAACTCTATCTAGTATAAGTTATCTAATTATTATATATTAATAACTCTTATTTAGCTAATTATTTTATAGAGATTCTCTAATAGATCTTTAAAATATAAAATAAAAGATATAAAGTAGAATATAAAATTAATAAACTCTTTTAAATTAAATCTATTTTTATTTTTAATAATAAATATCTCTAGCTTTTAGTAAAAACTAAATAGAATTAGAAATATATTATATTATACTATTTTAATAAACTAAAGAAAGAAGTTTAGAAAAAGCTCTATAAGAAAAATAAATTTATAAGTATTTATAAATATATAACTATAGTTATAAAAATTAATAATTAATAATATTACTAGTAAACCTATAGTAAAAAGATAATTTATTATATTAATACTAATTAATTATAATAGTAATAATAATTTATAGTTTTTAGAATATATATAAACTCTATAGAGCTAAAAGCTATAGAAAAATATAAATATTATAATTATAATAAGATTAGATATATTTTATTATAATATTCTAAACTAAGAAAATAAAAGAATTAGAAATCTATTAAGAAAGATAAAAAATAATTAAAAGTAATTAAGAAAACTAGAACTAAGACTTTTAAAATAATTAGAAAAATTACTTAGAAAAAAAATCTTATAATTATTATAGTTTCTATTTTTTTCTAGAGAACTTATTTTAATCTTTTAAAAAATACTAGAATTAGAGAAATAATAGAACTAAAAAATATTAGAAAAAAACTAATAATATATTAAAGATATTTTTAACTAATTTAAATAAAAGTATAGAAATAAAAAAAACTATACTAGGAAAATATAGATCTCCTACTAAGTATAAATATATATTCTATTATAATAGTAGATATATTCTAAGAATAGAAAAAAAATAAAAAAAATATTTATTTACTAGAAGTAAAATTAAAACTAAATATTATAAGTTATATATTTATTACTAATATAAGATATAAAATTAGAATTTAAATTAAGATATAGAATTAGTATTTTTTAGAAAAAATATTATAAAAACTATTTAATAATCTAATAATAAATATAATAATCTAATTTATATTAAAACTAGTAGAATATATAACTATAAGTAAGAGTTATAGCTAATCTATTATAATATATAGTATATAATATACTAATAGAAGAAAATAATATATAATTTCTTTCTATTTTTTAATAAAAAAATATCTAGAAAATATAATATAATCTAAATATAATAATTTATTTATTAATATTATAGAATTATTAGTATACTAAATACCTATAATAAGCAGTTACTAGCTATAGGTTAATTATATAGCAGTCTATTTAGTTATAACTACTCTAGAACTAGCTTTATAATCAGCCTAGTTCTATAGCTAGAATAGTAATTTAAATTAATTATTTTTATAACCTATCTTATCTATAAGTATATACTTTAGAAAAGCCTTTTAATACTAATTAATAGTTATATAGTAGCTATAGATTAATAAAGAAGAAGAGATAGGATTTCCTAAATACCCAGAGAAATATAGTTCTTCTATAGGTATTAGTTCTATACTATAGAACTATATATAATATATAATATAATAATACTATTATCTTTTATATACTTTAAATAATTACTTTAGAGATTATTTATTCCTCTAATAATACTATTAATACTAGAAATACCTCTAAAGAATATTTTATTATATATATCTCCCTATTAATATAGATAGAAGTAGTTAATAAGATTACTTTCCTCCTTAACTACTTAACCTTAAGAGTTTATCTTTATAGAATACTCTCTTTTTCCTAATTCTAAAGGGAGATAAGAAATCCTTTATATCTTTATCTTACTACTACTCTAACTTCTCTATATTCTATTAGAATCCCTTTAAATAGAGATTTTTATTCTTCTAATAAGGGTAGAACTCTACTTACCCCTACTACTAAATCTGCTATATACTCTAGAATTTATATCCTAAGTAAGTATAATAGTACTACTAATATAAATACTATTTATACTATCTCCCTTTAAATATAATAAAGCAGAAGAGATCTTTAATATAATTAAGCTAATAAAGATCTATATAAATAATATTAACTAGATAAACTATCTAATCTTAATAATCCAGATTATTATTATTAGACTTACTAATATATATAGTATAATATATATACTACTATAAATATATTAGTCTATATAGTAATAATCTATTAAGTAAGTTTATATATAACTTTAGGACCTAGTTATTAGAAATATTTATACTTCTAAATACTAGTATTACTAAAGAGTTAAAATATATACTATAATATAGTAGTATCTTTATTAGATCTCTAAATAATATATCTAAAATAGCTCTTAATAATATATAAGAACTAGAGAATCTATTAGAATAGCTAAAAAATATATAATTCCTTATAATTACTTTTAATCTAGACTTCTAGATATTTTAATTATAAAAGTAATATAGGAAGTTCTAAGGATATAGACTATTAATACTATAACTATTCTAAGAAAGAAATATAACTTATATAATTAAGATTAATAAAATAGAAATATCTTAGATAAGTATAAACTTAATCCTATAGATATCTCTATCTCCCTAGAACCTAATTCTAAACTAGTAGTTAGGAGATTATATATTCAGACTATATAATTTATACTATAACCTCCTATTAGAAGATAATCTTAGAATAGATACTATATCTATATAAGAACTTATAGCTTTCCAGAAGCTCTATAATCTAAAGAAATATTTATTTAAAAAGAAATTATATAATATACTTAATATAAAGATTAGAATAATACTAAATATATATAAATTCTATAATATATAGTTTAATAGATTTAAAATTATTCTCTTTTAAATTCTTAAAGAGAATATATAGAACTTCTAGTTCTAATATATTAAGAAAGAATATATATTTAGAGAAATATATCTTAAGCTAAAATAATATTTTAATAATACTATTAATAAGTAGTAATATTATTATAACTAGATCTAGATTAATATTACTTTAATATAGATAAATAGAGAGAATAAAGATCTTATAATATACTAAATACTATAAAAAGTTTTTATAATTCTTATAAAGATATAAAAGATACTTAGAGATAATTATAAAGAGAATAATAATCTTAAAGATATTATAGTAAGAGTATATAAAGGCTTAAAGGAGTTAGAAATAATACTCTAAAGAGAATATATAAATACTAAAGCTCTAATATAAAGCCTTATAATAATTCTAGAAATAAGCTTTTTAAAATAATTAGAATAAAGCTTAATAGATTTAATAGCTTAGAATATAATAAGAAATATATATTTTATTAATTAGTAATATAAATATTTTTAAAAGCTACTAAATAGAATATAATAATAGTTCTATTATATCTAAAGTATATAGAGTAAACTATTTAATAGAAATTTTATTAATTAGAACTAAGAACTATAGAGAAATAACTAGAGAAAATACTATTTTATTTATAATAAGTCTAGATATTAGTTAATAAACTATCTATAGTAGAGATCTAAAATATATTATTAATTTATAATTAAATTCCTTAAAATAGAAGAGAAAGTAAGAGAGAATAATATACTAGAAGAATTTAAATAATAAGTTTAAGATTAAAAAGAAATTAATAATTAGTTTAAAATAATAAATTATAGAAATCCTAATAATTATAATAATCTAAATAAAGAAAACTAGTATATAAATAATAATAAATAATAACTAGTATAATATCTATTTAATAATATATTTTAATACTTATTCTCTAGAGAGAAAATCTAGAGAGAACTATAGAATCTATTATAATTTATTATTAAAAAAAGATATATAATATAATTCTAAAGAATTATACTAAATATAGATATTTTATTAATTTTAACTATAAATAAATTATAATTTAAAGTACTTTAATATATTAATCTATTAATTAAACTAGATATTATAATAAATATAAAAAGTATTAATTTTAAAAAAAAACTTATAGAATTACTTAATATAATAGAGTTATATACTCTATTTAGATCTATTATATTTTATATAATAAACTTAGAAATTCCTTTTCTAATATATTTTTATAATATAAACTATCTAAATATTAAGTTTAGAAATAT